TATCTTTCCATGAACTGGTGAATCTGAGTAGTCATCCCTATGGCAAGAGTTATTGGGCAGGAATGCACATCCAAGCCCAAAGTGAGCCAATCAGATTCAATCCCAGATACAGAATCAGTAGAAGATAAATATTAAAATGTTTACTGCAAGAAATTGGCTATGTGACTTTGGTGGCTGATTAGTTACTCAGGGCTGGTCATCAAGAAGGACTGGCTGGATGTCTTGAGCACAAACTGAGTCAGCAAATTAATTGCAAGGTCATGAATATTTTGCCAATTCAATTTAGATTGCCATTCACCTGATCTAGAATTCTTTTGCTTGTATAGATCAAGCTTCCCCATTTGTTTCACTCTTGTGGACCCCTTGCCTAAGTAGCCAACATCATAGATTCATAAGACATAAGAGCCATGCTATTCTGATGATCACTTTGACCCTGCTATGTATTGTGGGAACCAAATCCACCTTATCTCTTTAGATCAAGTGCTGCGTCTGGGCTCCTACACCCAATCAGCCGGTTGCAGGCAAGGGTCTTCATTCAATTAGGATAGTTCCCACTGTTAAACCTGGTTTACATAAAATAGCCATCACAGGTGTCTCCAGAGATGCTGGATTCCCATCAAATAATTGTTTCTTACTATTTGGTAAAAGATGTGTCCTTGGGGTCCTCCATTTGTGGATCTATAGGTTTAGGCTGATAAATATACTCTACCATGGAAATTTCCCTAAACCTTTGGATATCTTCTTCTACACTATACCAAGGTAAATCTGATACTTCAACTTGACTTAGCCATCCCAGAACCCATGCTTCAGCAAACCAACTAAATAAATGATTAGATTCTTTCCTAACCTCTTACGCTGAAACACTGAATGAAGAATCTGTGCTTAGTGGGTCCATGTCCATAAACTCAGACTGTTCCAACCTTATGTTCTTTGCACCATTATCCCACACCCTTAATAACCATTTCCACACATATTCCCCAAGGTTCTGTTTGTACGTATTAGAAAACCCTAGCCATTCTTTGAGTACAATGCACCTTTTCTGAACCTGATCTTTGTTACTAAGTGTAGTTATAGAGCTGGAAGCAATAATGGATAGTGAGAGTTTTTCCTGGGAACTTGCGGAATTATCTTGTAAGGCATCTGCCTCCAGCCATTCTCTAGATGCAGGTCCAGGTGCCATATCTATAACTTTTCAAGTATGGATAGGTGGAATAATGTTTTACAGTTCCTGTTGCTGCTGATGTGCTGTTGTTAGGTGGCATTGAGGTGGTTCCGACCCATACCAATTCTGTGCACAATGGAACAAAACACTGCATAACCCTGAACCATCCTTGGGATTGTTCCCACACCTGAGTCCATTGTTACAGCCATGAGGTTAATGAATCTTGTTGAGGGGCTCTTCTCTTTTGATGCCCCTCAATTTTACCAAGCATGATGTACTTCTCAAGGGATGGGTGTCTCCTGACAATAAATCCAAAGTATGTAAGACAAAGTCTTGCCATCCTCGCCTCTACGAAGCCCTCTGGCCATACTTCGCCCAGCACAGATGGATTTGACCTTTGAACAGTCCATAGTACTTTCAACATTCTTCTGCAGCCCCACAACTCATATGCTTTGATTCTTTTCAGTCTTCTTTATTCAGTGTCCAATTTTCACATGCATGTGAGGTAATAGAAAATACTGTGGCTTGAGTCAGACATACCATAGTCCACAAAGTATAACATCCTTGAAAATGGTCTTGTGCAGCAGATTTTCCTAAGGCTAGAATCTGTTGATCTCTTGACTACTGCTTCCATGAGCACTGATTGTGCGATCCAAGCAAGACAAATTCTTTCACAACTTCACACTTTTCTCCATTTTTCATTATCTTACTTTGATCCAATCATGAGGAGTTTGGTCTTCTTTACATTGAGTTGGACTCCATACTGATGATTGCAGACCTTGATCTTCCTCAGCAAGTTCTTCAAGACCTCCACCCTTTTGGCAAGCAAGGTGGTGTCATCTGCACATCTCAGTTTGTTTCTTCCTCCAATCGTGATGCCACATTCTTCTTCAGATAAGCCAATTTCTTTGAAAGAATTGTTATCTTTCATAAAATGTGTTGTTTTTGTTCACATATAATCCATATATAGTTTTTAAATAAATTAATCATTATTTAATTTTTTCTAAGTTCAAATTTCTAATTTACATGTATAGATAGGTATAACCCACATAAACAAACACTTACTAGGGCATCGTTAATTTTTAAAGCCATGAAAGAGACCTGATGCCAAAAGCTTTTTTTGGCATTGTCCTATGCAAGTGTAATGGTAAAGAATCTTGAACATCTCAATAAGATAAAAAACTTTCTACACAGTGCCATCAAGTTGGTTCCCACTGTTAGGAGCCTTACAGGCCTATAGCTCAGAGTAAAATGGCTCTTAGGATTTCTGAGACTATAAATCTTTACAGAAAGTTAATAACTATTCTTATTGTGTCATTAATCATTCCACATGTTTTCTATTGTGCAGCATAAAACAGACAGTTACGTGAAATCTGGGCCTTTCTATATGAATGTAAAAGCTATCTGATCCAATCCCCTTCGTGCACTGATTTAAACAAAGCACTACTCACAAAGTCACAAGCTCCTTTTGTGACCTCCAACAACTTGATCTCTGACTGTAGAATATCTATTTGAATCTTTCCTGTAAATCCTTTCAATAGCAGCTCCATATTATTTTTATTCTAGAACTTATCTGTTTCATATCCCAGTAAATTATCTATGTGAAGTTTCTTTACATGATGATAAAAATATTTCTTTTGAGAATATTTTATTCATATTTTACAAACAACAATTAAGCAAGCTGACAAAATGAAGGGAATTGAGGTTTCTCTTTGTCCTCCAAAGTAAAATAGACTGACTGAGTTATTTTTACTATTTATTTGCCTTTATATTAAAAAATTGGAAGAAAGAAAAAGACAAAATCACGATATCATAATTAAAACAAAAAGGGCCAAGAGAATGTATAAAACTGAATTGATTAAAAAAAACAAACTGAATTGATAAAAGATAATCAAGGCAAAATTTTATCTCATATTTAGAAACAACTTATCACTTTATCATATCTACACAGTAAAATAAATGAGGTATAATCTTTTAAAAGTTTTAAGAGTTGAAAATTCTGAATGCAACAGGAATGAGGCAACTACTCTCACCTCCTGATGCAGACTGGAGAAGGAAGGAGGCACCTGTGCCCTTTCCAAAGAGAGTGACTATTATTCATCAGTGGTCAACCCTGGACCCATGGGAATGTGGCTGCATGGTTTTCAGTTCTTTGGCTTATAATGTGCGCGCGCGCACACACACAATCTTGAATGGAAAGATTGATGGTTCAAATGCACCGGTCACTTGGCAAGAGAAAGATGTGGCAGTCTGCTCGTAGAGATTGCATGTTGGAAACCCTCTGGGGCAGTTCCACTCCGTTCTATAGGGTCTCTATGAATTGTGGTCTGGGTTCCATGCCACTTCTCATTAAAGAAGAGGTGAAGGGAAACACAGTTTCTAGGTGTGAGGAGAGATGGTTTGTGGTTCCATGTTTGCCACCTGGAAACACTTTCCTTGTAAGTTTGAGTAGACTTACCTCCTTCTCTGGATTCCATTACACTTGGCTGAGGGAAATGACCTTTCATTACTTTCCAGTGCATGTTTTCTGTGCTTAGCCCAGTCTGTGATTTAGGTCACATTTGTCCCAAGAAACCATGGGACACTGGGAAAAGAGAGAAAAAAGAGGCAGAACTTCCAAAGCACTCTTCTCTTTAGCAGATGGAGAACTGAAAAATACCAAATGACTTAAAAAACTTTTTTCCAGACTGTCCAAAATGTTAAACAATTTGAAAATTCTTAAAAATCCCGAACTTCTATTTGACCGCTATAGTCATTAATACTTTAGATTTTGTGGGTGTTGCTTCCCTTTTAGAAAGTTTCTTATGATCATGTTTCTTCTTACTAGTCTGCTAGAATCCAGAGGTATATACACAATTCTCAATTACATGAGAAACAAACCAAGATCTGAATAAAGATCTTCAAGAAGTTAGTTGTTACACGTATTCCTCGCCACCTTTTTTTATTCACCAGCTTGGTAATACAACAGCCCCCTGCCAAATTCCTTGCTGTTGGTTCCACATTCTCTTTTCCTCGTGACCTCCCCAGTAATTATTCATCAATATGGTGACTAACTCATAATGTTTGCCCCAATTCACTGAGCTACAAACTTCTGTAAAAGGATTATATGTAGATATTTTCTTGTAGGGCATGAATTGAAGCGATCAATAAACCCATAAATAATTTTGATTTTTCTGTGTGTGTGATGCATTCACATAACCATTAAGCATGATATATTGATCCTACTTCCTGTATTTTGTAAATTCAAACAGGCGTCAATAATAGCTATGATTACAGAAAAATGAGACTTCTGAAGCTTTGAGAGAAATTTAATGACCAGCACACACATAAAAGTCAGAGAGAGAGTCTTTTCTTTCTTAAGTGCCCTTGAAACCCATCTACTGAATTATATTCCAGCCCGCAAAGAGAATTACAAGGTTATAATGGTCTCCCACTTAACTGCAGGCATTACAAAGGTACGCGGACAAAGTCATTCTTGTGCCATGGTGAGAGAATAAAATTTCTCATGAATTTTGCGATCGCTGGCTCACCGATTCACAGGCAGCAGAACTGTATAAAGAGCCATGGCTGACAGTGATGGTGCTGTGTGAATGCCCAGTCAAGGCCAAGAACACTGCCCCCAGTGTTCTGAGACCGGGCCCCACACTCACAGGCTTGCTATTCTTCTCTTGCTCGTGCCCAGTAAGGCAACTCCCCACACCCCCCTTCGCCTTTATTGGTCACAGTTGTTTCTGTCAGGACCATCTTCTTTGCTGAGTCCCCGAGAGAGTGTTAGCTTAAGGCCTTGCCATCATCAGTTATCAGCAGAGAAATGAAATATGCCACAGGAAGACGAAATGATATTGTAGCCAAGCTACACGAGGAACCTTCACTTGCATGCACTTTTCTCTATAGCTTCTATCGGAGCCTGCTCAGTACAAACATCAGCTTTGTGGGGTAAGTAAAAGCACGAAATTGGGGAGTGGTCTTCTGTGATCACAGGCTCTGAGTCAGAACCGAGATTTAACTACTTTTCTCTGTATCACAGTGGAAATTTCGTTTGGCTTACTGGGTGTATGATGCACATTCCAGAATGTTGCCTTTTTCTTCAATTGATTTCATTATGATAGGCTAATAGAAAATGCTACTTGCTAGCACCAAAGAGCTTGCAGGCAGTGCCTGAATACATTGAATGATAACTGATAGATCGTGTATTCACCCAGTGCTGCCTGTGGAAGCAGATGGAGACAGGGTCTTATTCTCCCAGAAAGAACTAGAGTTTTAAAGAAGAAAGTGAGATCATGTTAGGGTCTCCCGATCTCCCCTTGGTAAACTGGGAAACTGGTACATTGCCATTGTGTCCAACTAGACGTGGGAACTCTGGTTTCCCTTTGAGTTCAAAGGAGAAGCTGGTACTTACAGAAAATTGCCTTTACTTGCTGAATATCAACTGCCAGAAAACATTCCCCGACAAAGTATGGTGAGGTCTTTGATGAAAATGAATTAGTCCGATTCTACTTCAGAGCTCTGGTTAGGATTGGGATACTCATGAAGTAACTAGCAAAAATAATAAGAATCACGCTGAGTAGCTAGTGGTTTAACCTTTGTCATTGTTAGCTACAGCTGAGTGGACTCCACGTCATGGCAATCCTAGGTGTGCGGAGTAGAACTGCTTCATAGGATTTTAAAGCTGTGACCTTTTAGTGGCTGAGCCACAGACCTGTCTTCTGGGCCACCTCTGGTGGCAGGGTCGCTGTAAGCTGGAATAGACTTGATGGTGGTGAGGTGGGTTTGTGCGTTGGGGCTGAAGTTGGACTTTGAATAGCCAATTGGACACCCTGGTCTTTTCTTATTCATCAGTCTGTTTCCAGACCTTACAAAATAGAATCAAGTGTGCTCGGAGTGTTATCCCATTCGCAGATGCACTGCTACATTGAGCCATGAATCAGGCAAATCACAGATGTTGTTTTCTCTTCAGATGTTACTATAATTACTCTTAATAACACCTACTTGATATGCCATTTGTTTGCCATTGATGACTTTTAAAAATTGAACAAATAATTCATGTCTTAGAACTCTATTTATACAGATTTCAATGATAAGCCTTTCTACTTTGGAGGGATAGAATATCTCCTCGGGTTATCACTATGTATTTACTCCTCAAAGACTGTCGCAAGGCACCTTCACAACCAAATCCACTACCCAGAGAATCCATTCTGACTCGTCGTGACCATCTATAGAATTTCTGAGGTTGTAAGTCTTTACAGAGACAGATAGCCTCATCTTAAGAAACTGAAAATTGGGAACCCCCATGCTGAATGGTAATGAAGCCATATTCCACTTATGCTAAAGCGTGGCTGTTATCTTTTGAGCCATATGGGCTAATGAAACCAGTTGAAGAGGCTGCCCTTCTAGAAGACTATGCTGAGTAGGGAGGTTAGCTCAGCTTCCTGGTTTACTAGTGGTCAGAATGAGACTCAGAAAAATATGGCCTGAATTACTAAAGCAGAACACGGAGAAGAACCCAAGGCTTATGTTTCTCACTCCAGAGTCAGTCCTTTTACCAGGTTCCTTCTCCAGGTGGTCCCTGTCATCTCAGAAAGGAACAAGCATCTCATCCTTGACTGGAGAGATTCTTTCTATCTGCAAATCTACGCTGCTGAAGCATATTACCGCTAGGAACACTGAACTCCCTGTTTGAACCTTGGGAACTCGATCCTCCTTGCTGATGAAAGATCGCTGGTTTCCCTCTTCCAGTGGCATTGCCTTGCAATTCTCTATTGAAGAAGGTCAAGGCTCTGCAGCCATCCCATGTCTTAGTTCTTCATACCAGCTCGTTAGGAGATTGCATACCCTGTAACAGCGGCAGTGGTATGGCTTAGTAGTGAACACATGAACCTTAGAATCAAACTGACATTTACATCCTAGTTCTACTTCTTAATTTTGTGACCTTGGGTAAATTGCATAACATTTCAAATCCTCATATTGGGAAAATCTGTGTGTGTGTGTGTGTGTGTGTGTGTGTGTGTGTGTGTGCAAGCACCTGAGTATGTGTAATCAATTACCTGGTACAATGTAATGACCGGCTCATGGGAAGCACTTAATAATTTAGCCACTGCTATTAATATTTTCATTTGTGAAAGAAGTAAAATCTCATCTGCTTTTGGTCTTAGCCATCACTGCTGCCGTTGCCGATGCAGACGGCCTTGCAGACAGTCAGCAGCCTGTGAACAACTCTATTATTTTCATCTCTTCACCAACATTTCCCAGCTGCTCTGGTGTGATGTAGTGTCGGTTTGAATCACTAGCCTGAAAAAGCAGCACAGAAATTCAAGAACATATTGAGTGTTTCTTTGCCTCATCAGCTCCATAAAATGAAAATCCCACGTCTTTTCAATCACTAGCAAACTTGATAGTGAAATTGTCATGCACATGCTATAATGTGTTCTCTGCTTCCTTCCCAAGTACAACCCAGAAAAGTAATTCTTAATATGTGGTCCCTGGAGCAGGACTCAGCCCTTTCCCAGATATGCTGTATCAGAAATTCTAGGAGAAGTTTGTGTTTTGTTCTATTTTGTTTTTCACATTTTAAAAAACATTTTATTGTGATTTGAGTGAAAGCTTACAGAGAAAATCAGTTTTCCATCAACGATTGAGACACACTTTGTTGTGTGACATTGATGGTAATCCTCACAATGTAACAGCACTCTGCTCACCTCCTCTGGTGTTTTCCATTTCCATTTGGCCTTCTTTCTTGTATTCTGAACTTTGGCCCTGAGAAAATGCTACCCTTTGGGGCTCAAATGGCTAATTGCTCTAAAGTGTGCGTCTCTCTCTGGTGTGATTGTTGTTCACCTTATAGGCTTATTGCTTGGCCAAAGGTTGGACCACAGGGGTGAGTTCAGTCCCAAACTTGAAGAGTATCTAGAGGTCATAGTCCTGGGGGAGGGGGGGGTGTCTACCAATCTCAATAGGACATAAGCCTGTACTTTTAACATAGTTTAATTTAAATAGTCTGATCTATGAAGATTATTTTGTAAACAACCATTCCATTCTCGGAAAATGTTCTTAATAGATCCCATATCTGATCTACCTGCCTCTGCCTAATTATTAGATCCCATATCTGATCTACCTGCCTCTGCCTTAATAGATCCCATTCTGATCTACCTGCCTCTGCCTAATTATTCTGTAACTATTTTTGTTTAAGTCTTTGGAACCAAAGAAGATAAAGGGACTAAAGCAAAGCAACCCAGTTGACTATTTGGGGAGAAATAGTACAGAAGACTCGGTGGGATGGATGAAGCAGTTGCTTGGTTCTTATTTTTATTTAGCTGTCGATCCCTTTTTTCTGTTACCAAAGGCATAGCAAAAACCAGCCAAGTGATTCTGATGCTCAATGTTAGAAAACATTGACTTGGAGAACCTGCCCAGTTGCTTTATATATTGAGTATTTCTTAAAGCGATGAACAGATTAAAAATGATCTTGAAGATGACTTTAGATGGCCCGTGGAGGTTGCATCAAATAGCTGAATCACATAGTGAAAGTGCCTTTTTTTAATCCTAAAATCTTTGTTTGATGCTGATAGATCTTTAATACCTCTCTAATCATTACTAATCTCTCTAATTTTCAACTGAGAGTGGAATGCAAACTCAGTGCTTTCAGGAAGCAGCAGGAGCTAGCTGGAATTTCTCAGGGTTTTAGTGTGCTTGTGTTTCTTTCTACAACTGCCTTCTATTACTGACACATTGCTCTCCTTCGTTAAAAGATGCTGAGGCATTTTCTTTGTACAGTGTAAAGTCATCTATCTAAATGTTTTATTTAAGAAAACAATGATACAGTTGGCATTTGAATATGGAAAAAGGTATGTCAGTGATGTGTGGGAGGGGATAGTGTAGGTTGAGAAATTCTGGTATAATAGAAAGAACACATTTACATGAGAACTGCAATTATATTTCTACCACTTACTAGCTGTGCTGCTTTCCTCAGCCCCAATTTTCTCATCTTTCATTTGATAATAATACTTCCAACATCATAGAAATGGTATGAAAACTGATAGATGGGAAAAGTCTGCTACAATCCTTAAGAGAGGTACTTACTATATTATTATTTCCTCAAGGGTTATTTTGAAGCAAGTTTGCTGTGTAGCCTTCGGCAGAGCATTTCTGTCTGGATTTCAGATTCCTTGTTTGTAGGATGAGGGTCAAGGAGACTTGATTATCTTGAGGGTTATTTTAGCTCTTGTTGTAAGTTGCCTTCTTGGCTCCAACTCCTGATGACTTTGTAGACAACAGAACAAAACATTGTGTAGTCCTGTGCCATCTTCATTATTCATTGTTGAGTTTGAGGCCATTGTTATATCTTTTGTGTCATTTCATTTCATAGAAAGGGTACCTCATTTTCATTCCCTCTTCATTACCAAACATGATGCCCTTTACAGGCAATTGGTCTTTCCCTGTGGCATGTCCAGAGTAATCAAGATGAAATTTCACCATTCCCACTTGCAAGGAGCATTTTGGTTGCATTTTGTTATAGATTGATCCTTTTTGTCAGTCTACACAATGTTCAGTATCCTTTGCCAACACTGCAGCTTGTTTGAGTGCATCAAACCTTCTTTTGTCTTTCTTTCTCATTTTCCAGCATTCACATATACATGAAGCAATTAAAAGGGCCATGACTTGGATCAGCTTTTTAAAACATGCTTGCTTTTTAAAACTTTAAATTGGTGTTTTGCAGCAGATTTGTAATTTATCATTTAATTTCTTGACTGCTGCCTCCATGTGCATTGCTCTATAAAAATCTATAACAAATTCAGTTTCTTCTCCATTTATCATAACTGCATTTATCAGTCCAATGGTAAGGATTTTTATCTTCTTGTACAGGTGCACTGCATACTTAAGTCTTTGACCTTCCTCAGTAAGTGCTTCAGGACATCTTCATTTGGGGGAAGCCCTGTTGT